CGACTATATCATATAGCTGCCATAGGAATGATCGGAAATTAAAAAAAAAAAATTATAAAATTGTTTGTTTTCAACAGAATTTAATAAAATTTAAGATATTGCCATTTCATATTATTCTACACTTTTGTGTAAAATTTTATGAAAATCGGACTACTATATCATATAGCTCCCATAGGAACGATCGAGAAATTAATTTAATTAAAAATATACCATTTTCAGTTTTTAAAAGATTTTCATAAAATTTGAGATATAGCCATTTCATATTATTCTACAATTTTGTGGAAAATTTTATGAAAATCGGACAACTATATATATATATCTTTATCTATATATATATCTCCCATAGGAACGATCGAGAAATTAATACAATTAAAAAATTTAACGTTTTCAGTTTTCAGCAGATTTTCATCAAATTTAAGATATTGCCATTTTATATCAGTCTTAAATTTTGGGTCAAATTTTATGAAAATCGGACGACTATATCACATAGGTGCCATACAAACGATCGTTTGATGTGGAGGAAAAATGCAAATCAGTGAATGTAAAACTGCAAATATAATATGTATAGGTGAATGAAATGAAAGCAGGTATTACTTCATTGCTTTTTAACACAAATATATATAATTTATATTGTATGGATTTCTAGTCATCGAAGTTCTAACTGCAAGGGTATATAAACTTTGGCGTGCCGAAGTTAGCTTCCTTTCTTGTTATTGACTTCATATACGTTAGGCTTTGAAGCTTTCTCAATTAATTGCTTAGGCAATGCGGCTTGAGAAAAAATTTTAACCACAAAAGAGTCTGCTAGCGAGACTAAAAAGTAATTGGAGGTTTTTGTCTTGTTTTAAATTGTCGTCAAGATGGAAATTTGTGGTCCCAAATTGTCCCTGTGCGGTCTGATAATATCAGTTTGGGTCTTTGGCCAATTGGTACTTATGGGCCTATTTTTCTACATAAATTATCGAGGACTTGCCACTTGCCACGTCCGAGCAAAACGAGATTCTAGCGGCGAATGCCTTTGCGAGGAGATGCCAGACTTTTCTGCAACCGATTACTCCTTTTTAGTATATTCTATCGAAGGGAATCAGAGACTTAGTATGTGAGTCCGCTTCTGGTAACTTTGGCCACCCTACTAACACTACCGGATCCCACATTCGGCCTTCCTGAAGCTTGATTCGACCCGAATGGTTTCTTATACTCTGCAACCGTCTTAGTCCTATATGGCCCTTCTCCCTGCCCTATTCTTTCCACGTCGTAACGTCCATGATTATTGACCTTAACTACTTTATATGGTCCTAAATACTTTTCTTTCAATTTCAAGCGTGTCCCGTATTGGGTGCGTTTAATGGCAACTAAATTATTCAACTCAAACTTACGTTCTACCCTTTCTTTTAGAGTCGAATGCCATTTTATTTAATAATTGGAATATCTTGAATATTCTGCCTTGCTATCTCTCGTAACTTTTCCATTTCATCCTGTAGCTCAGAATTCAGACAATCTTCGATAAGTTCTTTCAATTCCTGATTACTTGAAACACGCATATCCAATCCAGTTAGCAACTTGAAAGGGGAAACTTTCGTGCTCCTCGGCTCAGTGTTGTTAATCGCCTGTTGCACTCTGCCTATCTGCTTATACCAGCACCCTGGATTTTCCTGGCTCAGTTTCGATAGCAGCGGGACCACAATTTGGTGCATACGCTCTACCTGTCCGTTACCCGTGGGAACTCCTGTCACGATTAGCAAGTGCTGTATTTTCTCCTTTTCGCAATATTCCTTAAACAGGTGTGAAGTGAATGCAGCCCCTCTATCTGACACGATTCTGTATGGGTTACCGAAAAGAACTGATTGGCGCTCCAAACAACTCAAAACTTCTTCAACCCCAGTGCTCCGTGTAGGTTATAACCATACATACTTTGAGAAAGCATCGACTATGACGAGAATGTGGTTATAGCGCTTCTTTGTTACCTCCATCGGGCCAACATGGTCAATATGGTATGTATCCAACGATTTGTCCCCTCTGTCTATCGGCGTCAAAAACCCTTCCTGCTTTCCAGCTTTTGTACTCACTAAAATGCACTCTACACAGCTCTCAACAATCTTCGCTATCTTCTCTTTCACCTTGGGAATGAAATAAGACTTATCGACCAATTCTTGAGTCTTTTTTGATGAAAAGAGTCCTTGCTTGTGGGCGTTTCGTATGATTTCGTCTTTCATAAGCGATGGAACTACAAGCATCTCCCTATTCGGATCTTTGAATAAGATTCCATTTGATACATAGAAGTCTTCATACTGTATTGTTTCGACAACACTCTTCACAGCCTTGGTCGAATCATCTGATAGCTGAGCCTCTCGCAAACGGTGTATTAAGCTATCTGTCACAACAAAACAAAACACCCTGCTCAACGCATCTACATGTCTCATCTTATTACCTGACCTATGTTCAATTTCATAGTCGAAGTCTTGAAGGTACATTGCCCAACGCGATACCCTGAGCGGAATCTGTTTCTTTCTGATGGTCATGGCAAACGCATTGCAGTCTGTGACTATTTTAAATCTTTTTCCAAGAACGTAGACTCGCCATTTTACCAAAGCTCCAATAACTGCAAGGACTTCGAGTTCATAAGAATGGTAATTCTCTTCGCACGGCTTGGTCTTCCGACTTATATAGAAAATTGGGTACCACAAGCTATCTTCCTTGTTACGCTGAAGCAACACAGCTCCGAATCCGAAATTTGAAGCGTCAGTATGAATTTCCGTTTCGAGTGAAGGGTCATACAACTTAAGAACAGGCCCATTGATTAGCGCTGTTTTTAATTTATCAAATGCATCCACTTGCTTTTCTTTGAACTCAAACTTAGCTTCTTTACGTAATAGATCGGACAATGGCTTAGCAATCACGGCATAATTTTCTACGAACCTTCTAAAATACGAAGTCAAACCTAAGAACCTTTGGATTCCCTTTTTATCTCGAGGGATTGGAAAATTTGCAACAGCTTTTGTTTTCTCCTCACCTGGTTTGATTTTACCCAACTCCACGATATATCCTAGGAAATTTACTTTGTTCTTCAATATCTGACACTTGCTCCAATTTATACGCAAGTCACTTTCTTCTGCCACTTTTTGCAACCGCTTTTGTTTTCTCCTCACCTGGTTTGATTTTACCCAACTCCACGATATATCCTTGGAAATTTACTTTGTTCTTCAATATCTGACACTTGCTCCAATTTATACGCAAGCCACTTTCTTCTGCCACTTTCAATACTCGCTTTAATTTCTCTAAGCCCTGTTCTACACCTTTACTAGAATTGATCACATCGTCCATGTACATAACTGCATCATCGTTTCTTATTAGCTCTCGAAAAACGGCCATTATAAACCTGGTAAACACTGCTGGCGAATTAGTGATACCGAAAGGTACAAACATGAATTCATACTGCCCATTCATAGTTACAAATGATGTGTACTTTTGAGATTCTGGAGACACAGGAACATGAAAGAATCCATTTGTCAAATCCAAAGTTGTGAAAACCTCTCCACCTTGAAGTTTTTCTAAAACGCAATCCATGTGTGCTGTTGGGAAATTATCTCTGACTATCTTTTCGTTCAGTTTTCGGTAATCGCAGCATAAACGCTTCTTCCCATTCTTCTTGTCTACCAAAACAATTGGTGAAGCAAACTCTGAAGTACTTGGTTTGATTATTTTTTCCCTAAGCCATTCCTCCACTTGATCATCTACAATCTTTTGATCACAATAGGCCAAACGCCGTGGATGCTGAAAAACCGGCAACTCATCTGTCAGCAACATTTTCATTTCTACAGGTGAACGTTGGTTTTTCTTAGGTTTGTAATTTTCCACCAACAACTGTACTTTAACAGTCACATTTTCCTTTAAATGATTCAATTTCAAGCTTGACTTATGATCTTCGGTACTTAACATACAAAGGCTGCCAAATTCGTTCATAAGCTGCATACAGGAACTTTCCCTTCCCTGAACCTCTGCTGGCTGCACACTTTGAACTCTCTTTGCAAACACGTTTCCTTTCCTTGTGACCATCATGTCTACGTTTTCCAAAATTGTAGTACCTAAAATTGCATCAAACTTCATGTCCTCATCTGGAATCACGTGGAACTCGATCCACATTTCAATGCCATCGATACTAACTGGTGCTTTGAAACTGCCAAAAGTCAGCACCTGACTTTCTCCAATTCCAGTCAAAACTCTTTGCCTGCTCATCAAACTGCCAACACCTACATCAAGTTTTAAAAATACACACCTACGCATCAAACACAACTCTGCTCTGGTATCTACAAGTCCTTTGAATTCAATATTCGAACAAAATACGGACTTTGCTTCTAAACCACAAGATGTACGAGAATGCGTCGGAATAATTTTCTCCGCCTGAACCACATTAGTTCTATCTTCCGTTTTGACTTGAGCACCTACTTTACACTGCGCTGCTCGATGCCCTGGCTGATTATACTTGAAACATTTCGATTGTACTGGACAGTCTCTCTTCATATGAGACGGATCTCCGCACTTAAAACATTTCCTAACCGAATCTGTTGTCTTTTCGTTGACCGACTCTTTAGCTACCTTACTGCTTTGGAAAGTGTACTTGTTGTCCGGTTTATACGAGCTTCTTGCCTTCTGGTATGCTTCAATCTGCCACTTCAACTCTTTGAGATTTCTAGCCTGATATAACATTGATTTATTTAATCTAGCATCTGGAATACCTTCTACGAAGTACTCGATTAGACTTTCATCTTCCAACCGTATAGGCTTAGCTATCTCCATTAGAGCATATAAATACTCCTGTAAAGATTCACTTTTTTGCTGACGACGCTTTCCTAGCCTGCGATGAATCTCGGCTGTAGAAACCTGCACTCCGAACTCTCGTAGGAGAGCTAACTTTAAACTTTCCCAGTCCTTAATGTGGTGGGTGGTTGGTGTGGCAACTGTTGACCTAAACTGTACGGGCTCGCCCTCTGTCTCTGACTCACCCTCATCCATCAACCCAAAATGAGTTAGCAATCGTTGTTGTAATTCAGCTTTCAATCCGGTTGTGTTCAACTGCAGCTCTGACAGCATCCGTCGCAATTCTTCCACTCGCAATGCCAAGATCTCGCTTCTTTCCATTTTACAAAAATATCCTGTTGAAAATTACAGTTAATATGATGACAAAATTGTGTTTTAACTCTAATCTTTCTCGATACAATTGTAAACAAACTAACAGTACTGCTTTTGCTTCTTCTTCTTCACACATACATACAATCAGACTGTTACATAGCCTGCGACGACCCTGTTTCGCTCTGTCTCGCTTCTTTTCACGTCCACCGCCTTCTTCTTCTCCACACAGCTTTCTACGACTCCGCAATGCCTCCAATTGGAATCCAATTTCTGAAGACTTGCTAAACCATGTGCATTTGCTATGGCCAATAAGGTTCTGCTGATGCTCTACTGTTCCTGCTCCGCACCTTATTCCGCTGTCCAACTCCTGATCTTCTCTAGCTTGATCTGCTGCTGATCCTCGTGTTCCAGCTCTCTTCCTCCAACTCCGCGTCCAATCTTGACTTGCACGTTCTTGTCTGCGTGTTCCTTGAACGCCACCAAGTCTTGCCTTTCCTCGTCTGTCTTCTGTTTTCTCCAGCCAATCCGCTGCTTCTTTGCTTCTTTGCTCTTTACCAGCCTGATTCGATACAATCTACATTTGGACGCTGCCACTCGGTTTCGTCGTCGTCACTCGCTGCTTCCGTGCCACTCGCCCTTTCTTCTTTACGCCTTGTGATGAAATTCTTTGCGCGTCTATTGCTGTCTCTGTCACTCGTTGACCAAATTGCGTGGCTTTTCCGAACTCTTAACCAGTTCCCAGTTTTTCAATTTGGCATCCACCTCACTGCACAGTGTTTTGTTAATTATATTTTATTAAGGTTCAAGTTGTCAAATGCTGGGCAATATCCTCGGTAGAGTCCCCAAAATTGCAGTGTCCTCTTTTAGAAAGTTGTAACACCGGCTTTGATTTAGTGATATTGTTTAATGCATTCAACTTGTAACTTAATTTAATCTTAATTTAACAAAACGTGGTTATCTTAATTTAGAACGTCCGAGCAAAACGAGATTCTAGCGGCGAATGCCTTTGCGAGGAGATGCCAGACTTTTCTGCAACCGATTACTCCTTTTTAGTATATTCTATCGAAGGGAATCAGAGACTTAGTATGTGAGTCCGCTTCTGGTAACTTTGGCCATCCTACCAACACTACCGGATCCCACGTGTACATATATGAGTGCGGAAGGCAATCAGTCCTCTGCACCTGTCAAGCAAAGGGAAGCACCGAACCTAAAAGAAGCTCTAGAGGGTGTCTAAACAATAGACCCCATCCCTCACAATAGCTAAGTACAGGAAAAAAGAAGCCAGCAACGAGACTTTGGACAACTTTGCAAACGAGCGAAGTAACGTAACAAGGGCTGCATTTATGTATGCCAATGCCAGAGTTGCCATTTATTTAAAATAACCTCTAACTCAAGCCGATGCGCAAAAGCGCTTTTTGAAAAACACTAACCATTGTTAGGCTTTATACTAAAACCTTATAACTGATATTGATTTATATCGAGCAAGCTATTGTGAATCAGTTATACGTAAATTAACCTAATTTCTCAATTTCTTCCATTTTTCTTAATTTACATGAGTCAATATAAATCGCAAATAAATACTTAATTCAAATATAGCTCAAATATTGGAAATAACAGAAAATTTGGAAACACCCAAAATGGGTTTAGTAGATACCCAAGTTGTTTATTCAACGGCAAACGTTGTTAAAAAAATAGATTCAGAAAAAGTTAATACAGACATGATAATAATATTGTTGTCGATCATTATAAATATCACGTTGTCAAATGCATTCATAAAAATATATAAATTAAACAATAAAAGAGATATCAAAGTCATGCCAATGACATAGACAAGATTAAAAAAATAAAGTGAAAATATATATAAATATATGTATATTTATATTGGCTAATAACATTTATGATTGTTGTAATAATTATTATTCTTAATAACAATAAAAACTGGAATGGAAGCTAACTTCGGCACGCAGAAGCTTATATACCTTATATAAAAATGCTCTGTTCGTGTCTACTTCCTTTATAGACTTGAAAAGTTCTGAAAAATGTAAGCCCAAATTTTGACACAACAGTTAAGGTTCCAGCTCGGTTATTGTCTACTTTTGATGTTGATAGCTTATCTGCGGTTGCGAATATAGTGCTGCGCACTCTACAGGCAGCCAGCCGAACTTCCAATACGTCTAGAAAATTCTGATTACATTTGATTCTCATTACAATGATTCTGGCTACGGTTCGAGCTAACAAGGACATAGCTTTAGCTCTTTCTTCATATCGAATAGCTGCGACATTGCTACCTGGTTGGAGGACTGCTCATTCAGCGCTGAAGTTGCCGTTGAACATGCAAATCATCGAGACTCCAACGTGTAACTTTTCCAGAGCATCTGGCATTGGAAAAGTATTGCAAAGATGTAAACTCATTGTTTGGGATGAATGCACGATGGCACACAAAAAATCGCTGGAGGCTCTCGCTCGATCATTGCGGGATTTGCATGGAGCTGTCCAACCATTGGGAATGCGTTAATATTGCTCGCAGGGGATTTCAGCAAACGTTGCCTGTGATTTCCCGATCGACACCAGCTGACGAGATAAATGCTTGCCTGAAATATTATATATTGTGGCAACATGTACGTACATTACAGTTGAAGACGAATATGCGAGTCCAGTTACAGAACGATGACTCAGCCGACCTATTCTCACGAAAGCTACTGGACATTGGGAACGGAAAGCTGCCAGTCAAAGAGACGTCGAGAAAAATAGTATTGCCCGAGAATATCTGTAATTTAGTTACATCGAAGGAAGGACTTATCCAAAAAGTGTTCCCCGATATCCGAATAAATTATAGGGATCACGATTGGCTCAGTGGACGAGCGATTCTCGCTGCCAAAAACAAAGATGTATACCAGCTCAATCATGTAATCCAATCCAGCATAGAAACTGACGAAATTACATATAAGTCGATAGACACCGTTGAGGCAGAGGAAGCAGTTAATTACCCTACGGAATTTCTAAACTCACTTGATCTGCCTGGAATGCTACCACACATATTGAAATTGAAAATAATAATATAATAATATAATAATATAATTTATATAATAATATAATAATATAATAATATAATAATATAATAATATAATAATATAATAATATAATAATATAATAATATAATAATATATTAATATAATAATATAATAATATAATAATATAATAATAATATAAATCAGCCGAAACTCTGCAACGGTACGCGACTCGTAGTCAAGAAATTGATGAACAACGTAGTAGAAGCAACGCTCATGACTGGTCCTTTCAAAGGTGAAGATTTCCTCATTCTAGGATTCCTCTGATCCCGACTGATACACCGTTCCAGTTTAAGAGATTGCAGTTTCCCATTCGCTTGGCGTGCAATGACCATTAATAAAGCTCAAGGTCAATCTCTGGAGTTGTGTGGTCTAGATTTGGATGCAGATTGTTTTTCACACGGACAATTATATGTTGCGTGTTCCCGTGTCGAGAAACCAGATAGTCTTTATATTTACGCGGAGAATGGAGAAACGATGAATATTGTATACCCACAAGTATTACAGATTGAAAATTATTCTTTTTGTTTGACTTATTTCTTATGCGTGCAACCACAATATGCCACAGAGAAACGTGGCAGGGTACAGCTAGTATAATATAAAACTAAACTATATAAATGTATATAAATATTTATATTTATATAAATATTATATTTATATTTATATAAATACTAGCCGGCCCGTCCCTGCTTCGCACGGGAATTAAACATTACATTTAGATTAGTCAATTTTAACACATTCATAATAATAATAATAATATGACACATATTCATCCTTTTTTTTCAATTATTGAGTTCATTACATTTATTTAGTTAGTGCTTCTCTGTAAACAATATTTGATGTTGTTTATTTTGTGGCAGCAAAATAAATTGATTTTCAGGGGCTCCGACTCGCGATAGACCAACATACAGTTGACCATGAGTAAAACATTTATTTCGCAGATCGATCCCTACTAATTCGAAGGTTTGGCCTTGGGACTTGTTAATTGTTAATGCGAAAGATGTTTTTACCGGAAATTGAAGCCGTTTAAATGGGATTGGCAGATCAGTTGGGATCATCGGTATCCTCGGTATATGAGCTAGTTGACCACTTGCTGGGCCAGTGATAATATTTGCTACTATTAAATTGTCCTTTAACTCCTTAATAAGCAGCCTCGTCCCATTTCACATGCTCGGAGGGTTTAAATTTCTTAAAAGCATGATTGGGATTCCGATTTTTAACGCCAATTCATGGGGTGGCAGTCCAGAAGGGTTCAACGAATTTAAAAATTCCTGTATATAATTGACTGCATCTTCAATATTCGTTACAGTGTCAATCGATTTGTATGTTTTTGTTTGGCCGGGGACTTTTTGAACAATCAGATTATTTATTTCATTGACAGTATCATTCTTAGGTGATACTATAGCCCGAGAACACAGCCAATGGAAGTCTCTTTCGTGCAAATTCTCGATATCAGGGTATACAGAATCTATTAAATTTTCCAAATTATGGAGTATTTGGCCTAGAGACTCATCCAGAAGAATGTCACAATGACCGCTTAAATTTGGAGTTGGAAAAATTCCTTCCCCAAGTTTTAGCAGTTGCTGTGGGAAATCGCTATCAGTGATTCCATGAAGATGAGCTCTCATATTTGTCCTTAATTTTAACGTTTCAATCGTAGTCCATATGGGAGAAGATTTCAAGCATGCCTTGATGCTATCTGCTCGCGTGCCTCTGTTAATAACGGGGAGAGTCTGTCGAAAATCTCCAGCAAATACAAAAGCAATCCCGCCCAAGTCTGCAGAGGAGTTCCTTAGATCCTGTAAGGTTCTGTTCACGGCCTCTATATGTCCTCTATGGCTCATCGTG